ATTACTAGCAGGAAGTTTAATTTTTTTAAAATCAAGGCTGAAGAAAATTATACTGAGACTTGATCCTAGAGTATTTAGAGCTGTTATGTTACTATTCATTCACTCATATGGGTCTGACTCTTAAATCCAAGCAAATTATGGTATCACATGACCGTAAGCCTCCAAGACTGCTTACAATTTTATAAGCAATGTTTATAATTTAACACTAAGCCCCCAATTCTGCAAAAATTTGCATTTGTGCTTAATTTTATGCATGTGTCTATGCTTGTTGACTTCAGCAAAAATATTTGCACGTGTAAAGTTACATCTATGTATACATCTTTGGAGTACTTTGCATACTAACCAAATTATTTACACACACACACACACACACACACACAGAGATGAAACGGATATTATGATGCAGCTAAGATTGAGAGTGAAATGCAGTCAGGGCACTCTGATGATCTTCACTTAGTCTTATCATGAACTCTTCACTTTCCATATAACCATAGATGATGCATAAGTATTGACAGTGGGGGACACAAGTCCACATAGCTGCCCCCGCTGCTGCCGGGCAATGGCTCTGACTAGGCTGCAACCCCATGCCCTGCCATCAGCACAGAAATCTGAGGTGGGGGCACGTGCCCCGCCAACGCATCACTATGCATATAGTTAACATTCACTGGAAGTTTGTTCACAGGCTACATCTGAATTTGTAAATAACTAGTGCTATTTTTTCATGGCGTCATACATAACTGAAAGGTTCTCCTGTACTTCAGTAAAACCATAACGGGAAAAAATTAATGTGTATTTAAAATAGAGACTATTCTAATCTGGCCCACAAAAACTAAAATAACTTGACCGTAACTCTGTATTTTTTGTAATCACTGAAGATTTCAATGAGTTTTATACAGTCTTGCATAGCTAATGCTTGTAAATAGTTGCAATTTCCCTGTATCTCTCTAAATTACTGATGTGTCAGTTTAACCTTCACTCCATTGAATGAAGGTTATCTGAGAATTTCCTTGCTTTTCAAATGACATGTTTCATAAACAAAACGCACAAGTGTTCTTGGATTTGTTTTTCTAATGACTTGAAAATATGAAGTATCAGTCTCAAATGGTTTTCTCATTTTTAGCTTTTATGGCTAGATTGGCCACTAGACTGTTATCCTACTCTGCCCAAAGCAGACAGAGCATACAAGCCAGTTAAACTGAGTTCACAGCTGCTTTCTCTTGCTAGAGCAATGCAAAACAACCATAGTGTATAACTGTTTCATGTTCCCCCTGTCCTCCAAATTCCCCATGTCCCTTATACCTCCGTCTGTCACTCTCTACACAAAAATGCTAAACTTATTCTTTTCCTATCTCCTAGCCTGTTAAGCAGATTTGATGCCATGAAGAGCTTTGGAAAAGACATATAGAATTAATAACCATCTTTCCATTATTTTCATAATGGAAAGTTCATGTCATGAAAACTTTACCATCTGAAAATGGGTACCATTTCATGATAATTTCAGTGGGACTGAAGGCACAGCAGCCCTTGAGGAAAACTGTGTCCCCTTTTGCTGCAAAGGGAGAGATACACTATTAACATTGATATCACCCATTTAGAACAAGGATACCATACCTTTCTCAAAATGTCCATTAACTGAGGGCAGCTATACTTTCCACCCTACTCAGAAGAACAGAAGATAGCAGACCTTTTGAAAGAGAGCAGTTCCTATAATAGACCTCTACTGAAATTTTACTTTTAAAGAACAGTAGGTAACAGGTTGCTATTCATCCTGAATATGCTTTTTACGTGTGGTCTATGCATAAAATTTCAGACAGTTTTAAATACATAGGGAATTTGAAATGTCTGTGTTCCTTTCCAACTCCTTTGATTTCAAACAGAATTTTGCTTAAATAAAGACTGCAGGTTTCAGTCATACGGAAAGATCTCTTCATTTGAAACAGGAGAACATTGGTATTCATGATATAGACACTAGTCCAGGAAAAGGAAGTTGATATAAATCTAAAGCAACAAATTAATTAACGTATACAAAGACTTTGGCCAAGACATTGTTGCAACATCCAATGTTCACACAATGCTTAAGGTGCTCACAAGACACCTTATGAGGAATCTGATTCCAAACTGTATTGCGGAAGGGAAGCCCTACCCAGACTCGCTATCTGGGAAGCTTAGTCCTTAAAGCCACAAGTCCCCACTACCACAACTGGGCCCATTACCCCTACTCCTAAAACTGTACTAAGCATTTCAGGAAGGAAGTTCGTTTTATTTGTAAATCTCCTATCTAACCAAGCTTAAATCTCATAAAGAAATTTAAGCTTGGTTAGAGCCCAAACTTTGGTATGCAAGATGTCTCTGGGAGGTACACAGGAGAAATTGTGTAATGGTGGATTTAATTTTTATTATAATAATTGGCATTTACAGGGTTAAAATGCAAAACATGTTGGTAGGGGTATGTAGGCAGCTGGTAAATCTGGGAGTACACAATAAGAAAAAGTTTGGGAACCTCTGCATTAGATAATTCAAAATGCAAAGTACAAAACCCCTTCAACCTTCCCCCAACAATTTTAACCATTTTTATAGTTTTATAACTCCATGTACAATGTTCAGTGCCTAGCGACTAGATAATGAATGTACTAGAGATAGATACTGCCCATAGCGTTGCCAAGATATAATTATTTTTAGTGTTGCCAATTTAAAGTAAAAATGATCAGTCAAAACCAGGTGTGCTGGGCTGGAGATGCATTTCCGATGATAATGCTTTATGTTCAGTCCTCATGCATGATGTCATCACATCCTACTTAAACACCTGTTAACTGGAAACATTCCACAAGACTCCCTACAAATGGTATAATGCTTAGGAGCCCCATAATGCTATGGAGCTGCTGTGAATTTTTTTAATAGATTTTTTACAGGCCAGAAAAAAACCAATACAATCAGGTAGAATAGGATTCTCCCACAAATGGCCCATGGGCCACATGCAGCCTGTGGGTCCTGTTAATGCAGCTGCCAAAACCACTGTGCTGACATAGCTCCAGAACACCAGAGCTGAATGACGACAATGCTGCCCCACAACCCCGTTGCCTACCACCAAGTTCTAGGTCTTAATTTGCCCTTGGTGACTATAGTCCATGGCACGGGAAAAGAAGGTGGCGGGGGAGAGGTGCAGTGGCAATGTTCACCCCTGGCTTCCAGAGCTGCACCAATGCAGCAGCTGCAGCAGCCATGTGGACAAGATGCTGCCTCGCTGCAGGATACAGATCTAGCCCATGAGAGGCCCTGCAGTCTGGATCCAGCCCAAAGGGCCAAATTAGATCCACCCCTGAACTAGATCCGTCCTCTCCCCCAACCTTGAATAATGCAAGTCATTTAACTTGTAGCATGATCACACTTCCAAGGTGAACAGGAGTTGAACACAACAGAGATCACCCCATTGCAGACAAAGTTATCATCATGCATTTCACCCCATGGTAAAAACAGAGAAGCAGATTCTACACTTGATGAATTTTTACTCAAGCAAAGCTCTAACGGAAATCAGGAGAACCAAGTGTATGATGCAGGATATCAGATTGGCAGTAGGTGGTGTAGACAAGGGAGCCCCGCTGTCTTCTCCATCGTGCTGGCAGACAATACATTTTAACTCGGCTGGTTTATAACTCAGCTGAGACCAGAATTGGGCCCAAAGGCTGCCTACGCAGAGATGTTCATGAAATACGGCTCTGCTGTACGTGGCACGCGCACTGCGGGAAAGGCTCACAGGCTGGAGGTCCGTGTTTTGAATGCTGTGTTTCAACCAATGCTACTGAGTAAAAGGAAACTGGTTCCCCCCTCACTTCCCCATCAAATTCAGGCTGTCTGTCCTTCACAGCTTAGCCCTTCCCAAACCAGGGATCTTACCAGTGTCTAACCAGGGGGCTGCACAGCGCTGGGATTCCTGCCCCACACCAAACACCCAGCAGCTGCTCCCCGAACGGCAGCCGGCGGCAGGCAGGGGCGGGCGGCCGGGCCCAGGGGCGCACTCGAGCCCGCTTGGGTTCCTGCTGCACCCAAGCGCCCAGCCGGGCAGAGCTGAGGGAGCCGCCGACTCCGTGGCTCATTGTCACAGACTTGAAACCGCCTAAACTCCCCGCTCCGCAGGCGGCAGCAACAACCCCCGGGGTCCTGGCGCTCCCCCGCTGAAGCTGCTCTAGTGCAGCGTTTCCCCGCCCCCCCGCGCCACGACCCAAACGCGGGTTGCAAGAATATCTCAAAGCTGCAGCAGGGCAGAGGGGCAGCCTCCTTGTCCCGGGAGAAGCACGTGCGCTCGGCAGGCCGCGGAGCCCCCTAGAGGAGCGGAGCGGAGCGGAACACGGCTGCTCGCCGCTGCCTGCGCTGTGCCTGGGCACGGAGACGCCGCCCGCAGGCACAGGTGGGGAAGAAAGGTGACGTCAGCGGGGACTGGAGACTGAAGCGAGCCGAGATCAGCCCCGAGAAGGACCCCACTCCTCTGACGTCGCAGAGGGCGTTTCCCGTCAAACGAAGGAGGGGCCCGAGCGCCCGTAGCCCCGCCCACTGGAGCGTCTGCAAAGGGAAGGGGAGAGGAGAGGAGGCGGTGGTGGCGTCACATCCGGGCCCCGACACCTCCCTGTTAAGGTCACAGGCACCCCCCGCCCGCCGCGTTATGTAACAGAGCGG